AGTCTCCAGAACTGTGAGAAATAAATTTCTAGTAGTTACAAGTTATCCAGTCTAAGGTATTTTGTTATAGCAGAAGGAATGGACTAGACTGGGTGCTGCAAAATTAGGTCTTTGAGTTCTCTGAGTTGTCCAACTTCACTGAAAAGAAGACAATGATTAAGTATTTGAGGAGAACCAACAGTCCAGAGAAAAAGCACTAAAGTGTCACCTGTGCTGTCCAGGCTCACACCCCAATTAGGGGACAGACATGTGGGTCCAGCAGAAAAGGAACTCTTAAGGGTATTAATGCAAAGGTAAGTATGTAAATAAGACAAGTTCTGGATATTTTATTTCTTTTCAAAACCAAGCATAATGTAGACAGTATTTCTGGCCTTTTTGTCTTTGAACTTAACAGTTCCCAAACCACTGTGAAATAGTAAAAGTTAAATTACTTTATATATGGCTTTCCTTGGTGGGAGTAAATTTAAAGAAAAAGAGTCCAATATGGTTATAATTCTTAAGAAAGTATTAATCAATTAGAGCTCTAAATCTATTTCCAAATTGTAAACAATGTAAGCAGCAGTTAGGTAAAACATGATTTGTAACTCATGACATTTTAATTTAAAATGATCTATGTGCCCAATTCACATCCTAAATATGTTTCTGGATGACATATAAAACCTCTTAAACTGTTCACAAATATAAATCAATGTCTTATTTGCAGATGATTTTATATAACCCATATAATGTTTTTTTCTGATTAATCTTTTTATTTCAATGGAAATTTTAAATTAAGAATTTATCATAACAATCAACATGCTATTATTCAGTATTTTACATCAGTTTTCTCAGCATTTGTTTTATTTGTATAAATGTCATCTTAACTGACATCATTTTACCTATATTCATTCTTCTCTTGTAATAATTATGAAGATTTTTATTTAGATTTTGGTTCAAAATTACAAATTCAGAATTAAGGTATTAATTATTTGCATTTCAAATTATCTAATATTTTCTATGCATGAGAACCATAGAAATGAAAAACAGATGAATCACTTTTAGGGGACCCATAAATCCCAAACCTGAAAGCAGAAATGTTATTTTAGAAGGAAACCTCTGGAATTATCTACACATCCATCCTGCTTTGTCTGATAAGCTATCCTACTTTAAAAGCATTAAATGAAAAATTCAGTTATATTAATAGATTCTCCTGTTACAATCAGTATGCTTTTTTAATTCAAGCATTTTTATGCTGTAGTTAAATCTTTTTTCCCATTATTTCTAGTGAATAAAGATAGATCACATTGTTGCTTTTTGAAGATCACTGTCAATCAACATTGTTTTCATATTGCCTCTACCTCATAATTTTCTCTAATTATTCTGTATATTCAATTATAAAATTCTAAAGAAACTATGCCCACATACTAATAAGGTTACAGCCATATAAAGTTATTTATACATTCTTTCATATCACACAAAGGACTCAGTATCAGTGCATTTCACATAAATGGCACTCAGAAAATTTTTGATGTGATCAGTCTACTTATTAAAGTAAAAGAAAAATAGAGACAACAAGATACAGAGATAACGAGCAGCTTAATGTGTCTAGGGTCAGTGGTAAGGAAAGTAGTGTTAATTTAGCATCAGCAGTGGCGATAGATCCAGTTTTCCTTGAAAAAAATATTGGTGCATTAGGGACTTTTGGCGTTTTGACAACTCGTAAGCTACAAAACACATTCACACGGAAAATAAAAGAGCACTCTGCTAGGAGGAACACGAAACCCTATATTTCAAAGAGTCATGCCACTCTTGTGATTGGGGCTCACTCGATTCCTAACTGGAATTGGTAGAAGGAAATTGGGATGCAGAGCAGCAGCATTATTTGCTCTATCTCTGTGGGGGGATCTCCCAGAGCCAGAGTGAAGAAACCGTTGCACGGTGACACAGTAGTGCCCCTGGGAGGTGAACGGGGAGAAGGTTGGCAGCAAGTGAGCAACAGCATTTGGTGGCATCAAATAATGTCTGACTGTTCTTAACTGCCGGGCGTGTGCTAGGAGTTTCATGTTACTTTCATTCAACCCCCATAACAAGTATTAGTAGTTCATTTTTACTAATGAGTAAGACAGCAACAGAAAAGGTTAGTACATTTTCCTGAAATTGCAATGTTAGTAAGTGGTGGAGCTAGGATTTGCATACAATTGTTTCTGTGCACTGAAGCCTAATAGATACGCCACGCCGCACGCCAAGCAGCACTGCGCACTGGGTCTAGTTTTCCTTAATGTGTAAATTTTGTGAGCTTCTATTCCTTAGTGATCTTCCAACAAGAAGAAAGCCTTGAAGGACATGAGCTAGACCTGGAATTGACCCTTGGCGCACCCAGACTGGTGCCATGAGAAACATACACAGTAGATGCAAATGCTTCAGTGATCTAATTCTAGGCATTTGGCTAAAGAATTACATCCAAAAATCTACTGAGTGCCCTCAGTAAACAACATGGAATTCTCCTTCTACTGGATCAACCTTATAACTCCAACACAGCAATAACAGCTACATTGTGGAAGCCTTCGTAACAGTGAAGCTGACTGGTGGCTGAAGGCAGGATTTCTAACAGCATCAGTGAATAGAGTAGGAGAATGAAAGAAAAGTTATATGCACAAACAACATGTTGCCATACCTGCCCAATTTGTTCCTGAATTTGGAACTCTATAAGGAATGTGGTATATTAATCAGCATGTTACTTGGAATAAGGAATGTGGAATATCAGCATGCCATTTCAAAACCACCCACATCCTCCAAATTTGTTGTGCTTTTTTCTGCTCATGTAAGTTCATTCTTAAACGTTTAATTAATATCTCTGTCTCACTGAGATATAAGTCAGTCTATTCATTCAGGTAATAAGCAGTGAGGACAAAAGCATTAATAGCTGTTGGAAAGTCTAAGATTGGAACTAAACAATATTATTAGTACCTATATTTCAAAGCTGGTAGGGCTAAGCTTCTCAGAAAAAAATAAAAGTTTATTGTGAAGGACCACATATAATTTGCAATACAATCCTGAATTTCTTTCCTTTATAACAGAATGAGCACCATTCAGAAGTGGAATTATTAGCGCATTCTAATCTTTCACGCTGCACTAATCTATTTAATCAAAGCTCCATCTCACTTTGTCTAAGCATGCTGCCTGCCTCTGAAGGGCAAATTGCATTCCATCTAACAGCATGTGGTTTTAAAAGAGAATGCACTTGTTTTTACTCCCTGAATAATGAGTTTAAAATCACTTTGTACTTTTGAAAAAAGACTCAAGTCACACATATCTTTGCTTATGTTGCTATATTTGAAATTCACATGAGGATCTGCAGAACAGAGGGCTCTGTGCTGTGCTGTCCTCACTCTTGTTTAAAAATCTGTTCTAAAACACTACTTTTCTCTGCACATATATTTAGGAAACTTGAGACTTTAAATAGATAGATAGATAGATAGATAGATAGATAGATAGATAGATAGGTAGATAGATAGGTAGATACTTAACACAATGTTTAGCACAGAGTGGCAATAGGATGGCTCAGGTAAGATTTTGAGAAGACAAAGACAAATGATGAATACTAACAAACCCTGATTAGTGATGCCAAGAGCTCCCAATTGAAAGCCCTCTTTAGTACCACCACTTGAGCAGCCCTGGCTGTTCACAGATACTTGAGGTTGCCTCTCTGAGGTTTGAGATATATCAACACAGTTTTCTCTAAATAGCTTTTAACAGAGGAGCAATGTATTCAAAAACCAAATAAACTAGAGCTGTGAGAAGCAAAAGGCTTACAGTGTTTTTCATTTTGGTTGACCCTTGAGTATAAACTTTTAAATGCAATTTCTTCTCTACGCCTTCCCACAGGAGCTGATACAGAAATTCAATGAAGGTTTTAGATGATATTTAATCAACCATGACAGACATTTCCCAGAATGCCCAACACAGCGCCGTTCCTTTCTATATCATTTTTTATGCCATTTCACCATCCCCTACAGAAGCTCCTTAACCTTTCAGTTTCTCTGGAAGTTTGGTTTAGAGGCCAACTACAATGGAACCACTTAGGTTCGTTGTTAAAATCCAAATTACTAGGCCCACTCAAACTTGCTAAATTAGAAGATCTAATTCCAGGGCCTCAGAATCCACACATTCACAAACATTCAAGAAAACAGCACAGTAAAATTTGATGACTACTCTGCCTAATGCTAAATCTGTCTGCCTTGAGATTAAGCTCCTCTCCCCCTCTCTCCATCTCTCTCCCTTTCTCTTTCTCTGCCCCACTTTCACACACACAGTCTTCATATGCTCTTCCACATATCCCTAGGTATCCCTGGAAGATCTGCTCCAGCCCCCTCACCCACGATACAAAAATCCACAGATGCTCAAGTCCCTTACATAACATGATGTAGTATTTGGATACTAGTATACCTACACACATCCTCCCATACACTTTAAGTCATCTTTAGATCCTACCTAATACCATGTAAATGCTATATAAATAGTTGTTATACTGTATTTTAGTTTTCTATTTGTGTCATTTTATACTTTCGTATTGTTATTTTTTTCCGAATATTTTCTGTCAGTGGTTGGTTGAATGTGCTGATGCGGAGCCTGTGTACACAGAGGACCGAATGTACTGCGTGAGATTCTGCAGGAATAAATGTATTGTGTATAACCTTTTAAACAGCTGCAAAGGTTTAGAGATATATTTCACCTAGATATATATTTAGTGGACATTGGCTGGTAGGGATTAATAGAAAAACCAGAAAAACACATCAAACAACCATCCCTAAGTATTTCCTTGAAATATGTTTCATCCTGGATATTACTCACTGATCAGTTTCTAATAGGAAAATAATCAATTAAAAGATCATTTGAAAATGTGATAGCACACTGGACCAATGTCATGTCTTCCTAATGAATAAAATGACACTTTTTGGCAATGCACTAAATACTTGTTTGAACATGGGGAAAATTATGACATCGTGAAAAAGTTAACTCACCACTTCTTCATGTCTACATTTTCTCACATTAATTCCATTTATCTGCAATGAAAACAAGAGCGTAGCTGCACATGGTATATTGTAAATTAACTTAATGTTTTCGTTGCACATATAATAATGATAAGCGTATACCTGTAGAATTGCATCCCCGATAAAGAGTAGTCCTGAAAGTTCCGCTATGAATAAAAGAGGACAATTGATAAGAAGGCATCAACTATTTTTGTCATAGATGAAAAAGATTTTAATTAAATAAAGGTAAAAACAGTAAATGAAACAAAAACTTAAATGTTTTATATGGTTAGCATCTTAAAAGATCCATAAGGAATAGAAATTCAAAATAACAATATGATTCATTTCATTTTAATTATTGAAACACATGCAAAGATATTTCTATTTAGTTCTACTACTTCGGACCTCTGGCTGCTAAAAACTAATCACTCTTCTAAGGGTAGATGACCAGATTTTCTCATACACTTAAATTTTGAGGTCTTTCACAAAGTTTGAGACATAGACATTCAATCCATCAGCTATGGAATTGGCTCCAGGTTCATTTTTAAACATAACGTTGTTTTAGTAATTTTAGTTAATGCAACAGTGGCTTTATATAGTCATTGTTTTTCCTAGATAAAGTTTCATATGAAAGGCTAACTGATGGAAGTTGCATAGGAAAACCGAAAAATATCTAAAATTGTTTTTACCAGAAGTCACTTGTCATTATTAGTTTTGTTTGTTTGTTTAATGTAACAATTGAAAAGCTATGCAGTCCCTAATTCATACCTGGTCTCACCATTAATTATCTTTCATCCTTGCTTCCCTTCTGTGAGAGAAGCCCTCCTGGAGTGACAAAGGGAGAGGACTCAGGAGTTGGACTCAGGCATTACTGCTGGGTCACAGGGAATGTGGAGCTCATCACTCATACGCTAACTTATGATTCTAAAATATCATCTCACTCTTCAAAAACAATGACTTACAAAGGAATGGTCACTATACAAGTCTCTAAACATATTACCTCTTTGCTCCTTGGAGATTTTTGAAACAACAACTGGAATGTTATGTTCCGCTCCTCCCTGAAAAGACAACACCATATATTATACATTTTTTAATCTAAAAAAAATACAGCTTTTAGCTAAGAAACTGTACAGGCTATGAAGAGAATGTTAAGTAGACACCACGCAGAATTTAAATAAACTTGTAGAATTTCTTCACTAAGTAGACAGTGCTCTTATGAAACTTAGCTACCTGCTTAGAATTTTGTTGAGACATCCAACAATTAACAATTGTCCTTGAAAGTTTTCATTTATCAAAAAAAGATCAAGTATGTTTTTAAATAGGCATTCTTTCCCATTTGTAGCAATTCTGTTCATTGCAGGAATTCTTATTTTAGGATTCCCACCAGATAATTATGTATTTCTGTTATCTGGCTAAGTTATTCTCCGCCGGTGACCAAGTGCTTTTAGTATACAGGAGCCCTCTGGATGCTAAGGGATCAGAGGGACCTTCACCAACACAACTGGATAAACAAAATCAGAATGTGCATATGAATGATGAAGAGGTGATTCATCTGCATTTCCTTAATTAGTATTAGAGTCCTCTGTGTGAAAGTACATATTAAACAATTTACAGAACAAAATATACTACCAAGAATATTGTAGTATTGCTTTGTTATTTGACCAAATGAGATATGAAAAAGATAGATAAATAAGTAAACTAAACTTATGTAAAAGAAAATTTTAAAAATCCTTAAAATAACTGCATAAAGATCCTATTTCTTTACCACAAAGTTGAGAAAGTTGAAAGCAGTAGTTGAAAAATCAAATAAGTGCATTAAAGAATAAAACGCCATGCAGAGAAGCAGCACAGCACTTCAGCATGGAGAAGGGGAAAGACAATCTAAATTCCATTGCATTACTCTATCTTCAGAATATGTAAACCTCTAAGCTTCTTATTTTTTTAAAGAACAAAAAATCATTTTAGAACAGACTTTTTTTGTCCATGAATGTACATTTTTAACACTGAGTTTTCAGTATATTTAAATATAAGATAGGCAAAAGTTTTTGAGAAAAATAATGGTATTAAATGCTTTCATTGCAAATTGAGTACTTTCTACTTCTAGACTATTCAGAAGAAAGGATAAATAAGATAATGAAAACATCCGACACAGATTGAATTTCAAACCCATTACTCAACTACCTTTTTCTCACTATTTTGCAGCAACCCAATATTCATCCACTTCATCTTCAAGACATTGGCATAAGCTACAACAACTCCTAATTCTGGTTCTGCCTTTTGGTCTGTATGTCTCTAACAAGCACTGATCCTGTTTAAAATGGTGCTGTCTCTGGTCTGATCAAAGGAATAGTGATCTGTGCCTGACAGTGTGGTGTGGCGAAAAGTAAGTGCCTATTTATCACATGGTAAACACTGAATAAAGGGTAACTATTATCCTAGAGCAGGCTAACAATTAGGATTTAACAAGTAAAATGACATGGCATTAAAATTCTAAATAATATTATAATTAATCCATTCCAAGACCTTTAATATTTATTAGTCAAGATTCCAAGTTCCCAATCCTTTATACTCTGTTCTATTCTTTCCCCCTTACACTTATCAGCTTCTAACCTGCTATTTGTCTATTTCTTACATATACTGTTTCTTTCTCCTTCCCATCCCTAACTAACATGTACGTTTCTCAAGGGTACTGAAGTGTTTTGGTAGTTTGTTCTGGGCATTGATGTAACCCCAGTGCATGGAATGTCTTCTCTATCTTTGAAAGGACTGCCGAATTGAAGCAGTGAATGGATAAATGAAGTCTAAGGCTTTTCCAGGCCTAACTTACAGTTGCTGACAGTTTCTAGAGATACTTGGAAATTAGAAAGGATATTAAGAATACATCTACATTTCCCAGAAGAAAAAGTTGGTTAACTCAAATAAATCATTCACTGATGAGACTTTAGGTAGTACAAAAAGATCCAACAAATCATCCAGAGTCATTGTGGTTCGTATATTTTGGGGCAGGCACAACAGGGCATATACAGGTCTTGTCAGTGCAGCTGTCATCAGGGTAATTCCCTTCAGCTTATTTTGCATTTCACACTTTTCTGTAATTCCACTACTGAGTCCAGAGATTTTCTTAAATGCTCAGACTTTTAATGCAAGTTACCAAGTCGGGGTCCATCTAGAGAAAATGCCGTTAAGGTAGAGATTTTCTGAAGATCGACTCAATAATCCCATTCTTCCCTCAGCACCTGGATTTATGCAGTAGCCCCCTCTTCTGTGGCTTCTATTTCCCTGGTTTCAGGTATCCAAGGCACAGTATGGCAAGGCAATTTCAGAGACAGAGAGAAAAACCACATCCAGATAATTTTTATTATAGTATATTATAATAAGTGTTCTATTTTATTATTATTGTTGTCAATCTTTTACTATGCCTAATTCATCAATTAAACATTATCATAGGTAGGTAGGTATTTATACGAAAAAATATATCATATGTAGGGTTTCGTCAGTACTATCTGCGGATTTAGGCAACCACTGGGGGTCTTAGAACATAACCCCCGCTGATTAGCAGTACTACTGTAACTATCTTTTAATGGCAAGATATAACTAACCCCTATTTTTTCAACATTTTTCTTTTATATGTAAAATTTCTCCTAAAATTTGAGTGGCTTGAATCCAAATATGGTTTTGTTTTGGTTTGGTTTTTTGGCTTTTAAATCAGATATTTATAGCTTTGAGATGATTTTTAAATTTATTTAAGAAAATGACTTCATTAATTATCAAATTTTAAGACAAAATTCAGAAGATAAAATTGGAACTTAAAATTATAGTACCTACATTAATTGGATAAAATGTGAGAGCAGCCCAGCTCTATTAAAGTTAATTAGATTTAGTTTAGGATCTAAATGGGGAAACTTAAGGTTTGCCAGTTAAGAATCAAATTATGTGACTTCTCCTGTTTAAAACAGGTGACAGGCTTCCCATTAAACTCAGAATGACAATCAAAACCCTCGAACAGCCCTTCATTCTGCAGCCTGCGCAGCTCCCAGACCTTCGTCATTCTGAGCACTGAAGGCCTTCAACATGCTGTTCTCTCTGCTGGGAAGGCCTGTTCCTGCACTCTTAATTAGGTAAACTCCTACTCATGTTGAAATTTCGGCTAAAAGGCTCCTCCTTCAGTGTCTCCTAAAGTAGTGCACTGCTGTATCACGGGATCATGGCTGTGATTTACCTTTATGCACCTAACGAATTGATCAAAGTCTGCTTTCCCACTGGAGTGTGAAGACCTGGGGTGGCCGGGGCTCACATTCACCATCTTCACCTGAGGTATCTTGGGTGAGTGTTGGGGGGTGGCTCACAATCTTGGTTTAGAGAATGCCTGAATTCTCCCGTGTTTGGAGAAATCCAAGACCGGGGAGAGGGAGGCAGTGTTCTAGACAACTGACCAGGTAACATTAATAGTAACACATACATCATTCAACTTGATCATATTCTTTTTACAAAGCATAGCTGATTTTATATCTAGCTTTGTAGGAACAGGGGGGGATATAAAGTCCCAGCTAAAGTATTTTGAGAAGGACTCTACACAATGATTTTGTCAGCATCTTACTGTGAAATGCCACCAAATCAAACCTACCATGCTTTCAGAGCAGTGGGGATCTTACCAAATAAATCTTTTCAGTTCAATGTTTTCATTATTCCAAGCAGCCATCAATCGATCATATTCTGGACTTTGGAAAAGAAAAAAAAAAAAAAAAAAACCAGATGCATAGACCTCCCCAGTATTCTTCTATTTAGAATAAGGAAAATATTGTCAGCAGATAATATGACACAGGAATTAGGATTAAGAAATGGATAGGCCTAGGAGAGGCACCTAAAAGAAATCACCTGGAAGAATATGGGCAAGAACCACCACGCATCTGAATGCAATATTTATCCGCCAAAATCACTTAGTTTCGTTTGGTAAAAATTAATGATCTTTCCCACATACTGTATCATTGCTTTCATATGAATGTCCCAAGTAGGAAATTTATAAACACAAAAGTTAGATTAGTGGTTGCTCTGGGCTGGGGCATGGGAGACAGGGGTAACGGGTCAGTGGCTATAGGGAACAGGCTTCTTGAGGGAATGAAATGTTCTAAAATTGACTGCAGTGATGTTTGCACAGACCTCTGGATACACTGAAAACGACTGAATTTACACTTTAAATGGGTAAACTGCATGGTATGTGAATTATATCGCAATAAAACTATTTAATAAAAATAGTAATGGTCTTGGAATAATTGGCTAGTGGTTTTAACTGATTCTTGGGACTAATCCATAATTTTCAAACTAAGCTTTATGATCTTCCTATGATCCATTTTTATGTTGGAAAGGTACACACCCACCTTGTCTCTGGTGGAAACAAAGGACTCAGACTCCAGTAAAAGGAATGGGGGGCAGAATGGAGAGAAATGCATGCTAGTGTGTACGTGCACGTATATCAATGGCTGTTATTTGAAGACTTTTGTCCAGAAATAACTAATAAATTAAAAGGAAAAAATTTATTAAAGCTATTACAAAGTTATATTTTTATTTGTAAAATTTGATACAATTGGTACCCAACCCTTGATATTAGAAAATTACTTGCTTAATCTTGGCCACTTTGATCCATTTACTATATTTCAGTTTTAAACCAGAATGTAAATAACATAGAGAGGAAACCTGATTTGTGTCCCCAGCTTGAAAATTAAAAGATAATTTAATCCAGGTTTTATAGATCTGAGCATAATTATTAAGAGTAAAGACTATGACAGAGTAGTCGCCCCCTGACCCCCAGAGGTATGGAAGGGACATACTGACCATGGGGAATATGCAACAGAGGGAATGGCCTGAAAAAAATGACAAAAATATTTTCTGTCTCTTTAAAACATCCTCCACTCCTTTTTGAGAACTAAAACCTGTTCCCTGCCTCAGACCAGTGGTGAGAAGGAGCATGGTAAGTCGTTTGTTATTTGTGCTACAGGAGATAGCCCAGCCTGACCTGGCAGAGGAAGGTCCTGGATGGAGGTCACAGGATTGTCTTCAGGGA